CCCTTTATATAAAGGGATATCAACTTGATCAAGGAATGGTAGACTGCAGTGAATGAAGGAAAAAAAACCCTTTGCATAGGTAGTAAAAGTAACATTAAAAGTTGTAAATGCAACTTTTACTTTCATGTGCTTTTTTTTCCAATTCTGCACCAACCTCACTCTCCAGTCCTTGTGAAAACATGCAATAATTTCTATAGAAATGATAAAACAGTAGCAATCCATAGTTCCTTATCCTTTGTACTCTTTGGATATTCTTCCTTTCTGTACATGTGTTTACTTCTTATGCTTGACCTAACACAGAAACCTCACCTTAGGACTTCCTCTGTGACCCCATTATTTTCTGGAAGGAGCAATCTAGTAATCCATATATGGAAAAAATGCTCTAGTAAAAAAGGACCATTTCATTGCACCTATCGCTATCTAGGAATCCCTATGTATAATTGACAAATTCCGCTGTAATCCTCCATTGATTAAATTTTGAGGAAATTCCTTGAGGACTGATACATGATTTATATATCTAATTCAGAATCATGGCTCTTCTAAAAAGCACATCTAGGGGTGAACCATGCTAAGATGGTCCTTGAACTCTGTCTGGGGGCTATTGTTGTAGGGAGAGATTTTTGCCAGGGTAAACATCAAATCTTGCTTCCACACTTCCCCTCATTGCTCAAGACAATATCAGAAGTAAAAATTCAGTTCTTGCATGAGTGATAGCATATTGCAGTGAGACAAATCATTCTAGAAACTAGTCCAGATACACCATCAAATAACCAAACAAGCACATGAAATTTTATTTTGTACAGCAGTCAGCTTATAAGCAACAGTAAATTCCCTTGGGTCAAGCTCAGCTCCTGGTGGACTGCATGAACATGTCCATCACAGATAAGAAAAATGTAGTAACTGCATTCTTCATGCCATAACAACAACAATGCATCTAACATAAATATGTATATTATATCAAAGTAATTTAGTTCAAGTTATTTAAATCACACAGTATCTAGGCCAATTGTTCATTTTTTTATATTTGATGTGCAATTATGTATACACAGACACACACACATGGCCTTTAAGCAGGTGTGGCATGAATTCTATTGTAACTTTAATGTTGTTAAAGAGGATTTTGAACACAATATATATTATTTAATAATCTTAAATCATTTTCAACTATTTTATAACTTGTTCAGAATAAAGAAACCTCAAAAGTTCTTATGACACAATTCAATTAATGTAAAACATATATGTGTTATTGCAATAATTTGAAATATTTCTTTAATATATCTAGAGTGCAGAGTCTGTGGATTCCCAAGCTGAGATACTGTTAAAACCTGATTACATTCATTCATGTACAATTCATTTTAACGGAAATTTGAGAGATGAAAAAAAGAGATTACATGAAGACATATTACAAAAACAGAGTTCACAAATCAAAATTAATAGTGAATCCATTATTTTTCATGTACGCAACCACCAAAACAAATATCCTGTGAACTCTGAATATATACTATATCTCTTCATATCTCAGTGTCAAGGAGACAAGTTCTCCTTCATTTCACAGCTGTATAATTTGATCATTGTTGACTAAGGCACAAAACAGGAGAATGGAACCAATCATATACCATCAGAAGTTTTGATAACATATTCATTTTTTTTCTTCTAACATTAGTAGGATAATCATAAAATATGATATTACAATATGAGTGTGTGAAGGTAGTTTGCATGTAAGATAGAAATGGGGAATGGCATACTTGTAAAACAATTCATTTTAATCAGTAAATATTAATTAAATTAATATTCATTTATTTTATTCCTCTGATCCTATATTATTTTAGTGCTGTGCTCTGCACTCATTTGGAGTGCAGTTTCTGACAGACCTCCATCAACATACAAATCCACACATGAACATGTGTCACATTTACAATAAATATACACATTTATTGTAAGGGTGGGTAAAAAGAGCATTGCATGGGACTTTCCTTGCATTTATATTTTTTTACCCCTAACTAATCTTCTGTTTGCTGAGGGTCATCATAAATTTAGTATTATCTTACTTTTGATTAAATGTAGTACATCAGGTACTTAAAAGCCTATGGATAGTAAGGAGAAAGATACAGTCTATACAAAGATTGGTACTTTATTTATACATTAAAGAAATCTCCATTTAAAAAATAGGAATAGAAATGTTATAAGAATAGGAAAATTATCCATGGAGAATTTCTGACAATACCTATCATTAAGGCAATTTAAGAAGGAATTTAAGAAGGAAAAAATGAAAAAATAGAAATAAGCATCTCTCTTGAAAGCAACACAACCAGCAATCTATTTGCAACTATGATTTATACAAGCTAAGAAAACAAGTCCTTAATTGCATAGACTGAATGATGTATGCATTTCATAAAAAACTAAGATTTTCACACCTCACATAAGTACCATTCTTCTTCCCTCCAACAAGAATTCTTCAGTTTTTAAGAAGCTCACAACAAAACAATGAGATCTACCCATTATGTCCAAAGCTAGCCAACTCATCATTTTTTTGGTTGAACTTCATTATAATATGAAAGGAGATAACTATAAAAAAGGTTTTTTTAAGTATGGAGTGCTGATATGCTAAATGATACTTTCTCTAAGATAAAGGACTTTGTATACAAAGAAGGCAGAACACTCATTGATTTATTTTATGTTCTTTTCCATTATTGAAAACTTCTTATTCTGATAATATATATTTTCTGATCAAATCCCTATATGATTCTTTTCTTACTATTTGTAGTTCCTTAGGAACCATATAAAGTAAACAATGGTTCATCAAATTGTAATGATTTGGCTCTTGTTAGTTCAGATAAAAGAAGACTTAACAGGGTATGTATCATACAGTATCCTTAATTTCACACGCTAGCAAAATAATGCTTAGGATCATCTAATGCAGATTTGAGCCCTACATAGGAAAAGATATGCCAGATATTCAAGTAAAGCTTAAGGAACATGAGACATTATTGCTGATGCACACTGGATAACTGAGAAAGCTAAAGAATACAAAACAGAAGTCACTGTATGCTTCTTTGATTATAGAACGGCCTTTGATTATGTCAACCACATCAAGCTGTGGAATGTTCTCAGAAAAATGGGAATCCCAGAACACTTCATTGTCCTCATGAGAAACTTATATATGTGTCAGGAAGCCATAGTAAGGGCAGAACATGGTGAAACAGACTGGCTCCAGGTTGGCAAATGAATGTGACAAAACTGTATACTCTTGCCTTATTTATTCAACTTATATGTTGAATATATATTAAGGGAAGCTGGGTTGGAAAAAGATGAGTGTGGTTTTAAAACTGGAGGAAGAAAAATCAATTACCTGCACTATGCTGACGACACTACCTCTGATAGCTGAAAATGCAAAGGTATCTGCAAGCTCTAGTAATAAAAGTCAAAGAGCACAGTGAAAAAAATAGGGCTAAAATTAAATATAAATAAGACCAAATTAATGACAGCAGGTAAAACAACCAACCTTAAAATTGACAGTGAAAATATTAAAGTGGTGGATAGCTTCTACCTTTCCGGATCAACCATCAACAGTAAAGGAACAAGCAGTCAGCAAATACGCCACACACTAGCGCTTAGTAGAACAGCCATGAAGGCCTTGGAAAAAATATTCAAATGTCATGATGTCTCTGTACTACAAAGATCAGAATTGTGCAAACCATGGTTTTCCCTGTGACACTCTATGGAAGCAAAAGTTGGACTCTGAAGAAGAACGACAGGAAGAGTATTTATGCTTTTGAACTTTGGTGTTGGAGAAGATTCCTGAGAATACCATGGACAGCCAAGAAAACAAAACCAAAAAGAAAAAAGAAAAAGGATCATCAAACAAATCAATTCAGACTTTTCACTTGAGGCACAAATGACAAAGCTCAAATTATCCTACTTGGGACACATTATGCAAAGATCTAACTCTCTGGAAAAGGCTTTAATGCTGGGAAAGGTAGAAGGAAAGAGAAGAAGAGTATGACCAGCAGCACGATGGATGGACTCAGTTACAGTGGCAATGAATGTACTGGAAGACCTGAAAGAACAGGTTAGGGACAGATCATCATGGAGAAAATCTACCTGTGTGATCACTAAGGGTTGACAATGACTTGATGACACCTAATTAAAATTTTAAAAAATCAGTTCAGATACAATTTTTCCCTTCTGCATAATTCTTATGCTCTGCATCTACCCTTCACATGCTTTGAAAAAAGACTATGCTACAAGAAAGTTGCATCCAGCTATCTAAAAGTCTTGATATTTTATTTTTAAAAATTAAGATAAATATTTAGCATAAAATAGTGTAAACAGAGAAAAAAATCTGTAAATACATTGTTTAGAGTTTATAGGAAGATTTGTGGAAGACTGTATTTCATCTTTAACAAAATGGTTGTTTGGGTGCGCCAATGAAATACTGCTTCTAAATTTTAAAATCCTAACTCAATAAAGCAGAATAAGAAAGACTCCTGAAAAGAAATTCAAATGAATTCAGTACATTCCACACACTTTGTGTAAATAAGAATATCTATTAATTATGGGGTAATCAACATGGAAACTATATTTCTATATAAATGAACAACTAAAAGACAAAAACTAATTAAAAGAATATGCAAAGTACATATACCAAATTCTTTTCGAGTATAGTAAAGAAAACACTCAACAGAACATTTTTTTCTCCTGGGTAATAAATGTTAAGCAAACAGAGGGATTAAGAGTAGAAACCGCTTTGTAAGAAACTAAGAATAATAAGCTAATAATAGGATAGTTTAGGCTTTCAAATAGTTCTTCTGCCAAAGTAATCCAGCCAATCATATGAAGGAAAGACTTTTCTCAACTTAATATACACAATCTTATTAAACAAATATACTATAACACAGCTATATTAAACAACCAGCAAATTAACCAGTTACCTAGTTTACAAATCATTTGTTACTTCTCTAACAATAATACATTTAAATCTGCATGTAAATGGTGCTCACCTGAGATTCTTTTACATTTTCAACTGTGAAGTTGAACCAAACTCGAAAACGTGGATTACATGTGTCTGGTCTGATGAAGAGATCATATTCAAATTCAGTAATATGGTCCACACGTCCAAGGTTCCCTAGAAACATTTGTAAATCAAATTGTGAGGTTATGGTTTCCACAAAATCCCTCTATGGTAATATAATGGTTAGTCAACTAGCTTACCAAAAGGCCTAATAAAAATGTATCGACAAAGCTAACCCAAATGTACTAGCTGACTATATGAGCACATTTCATTTTCTAAAATACAGTAAATGTGTGTCTGTAGTTTTAGGGCAGATAACCCACTTCATGACTTTAGCTGTCCAGCAATTTTGTATTTGAAACTGAAAGGCACTTCCTATAGTTACTTTAGCAGGAAAATGACAACAATAAAAAGTTGTTACTGGTTCATTTTTTGAACAAAGGATATTCTTTCATAAATGGATATGTGATTGATAAAATAAAAGCCAAGGCAGGACAACTTGGACCAACGTATCTCTGTATCTGTGCTTTTAGTATTACTACTACTATAATTAATAATAATAATAACAACAACAACAACCACAAAACAGACAAAGTAATAGAAAATGAAGAAGCTAAAGTACTCTGGGACTTTACAATTCAAACAGACAAGCATTTGCCACAACACCCCCGACTTAACAATTGTTGATAAGAAAGACAAAAAAGTCTGGATAGTGGACATTGCAATACCTGGAGACAGCAGAATAGAAGAGAAAGAACTGGAGGAAATCTAACACAGAATATAAAGACCTGCAAATAGAGGAAGAAGGGTTGGGGCAAAAAAAAGAAAAGAAAGAACAAAAGGAAAAAGGAACCTGGG